TTGGATATCTTTCCCGATAAAGTCTAGCGGCGGCACTTGCGTTGCATCTGCATTCTCCATAAATGAGGTGCATGTTCGCATATTCTTGTGAAGTCTAGCGCATAGGCATGGTAGATAACAAGGATGCCAACACAAAAGTCCAATTCCAAAAGAGAGAAGCCAAAGTTGCCGGTATGTAATCAACAAGTCCAATTCACAAAAATCCAAGTCCAAAAAGCCAAAGTTGTCAGTACTAAATCAACACAGCGAGTGCGCGGTAGACGAATGAGCGAAACGTACTAACTGCAGTGTTGCCGTTACAGCTGTCTACTTTGTTGCTAGTTAAATGAGAAAAATGGCTAGTTTTGCAAGAAAATCGCCCTTCAAAAAGCTGCTAGAAGTAGCTAGGTTTATTTTAGCGGCTAAAGGAAATTATTTTGACTCACTGGTGTCAGACTGGTAGCGTAGCCGTTTGCTTGGAATGGTGACTGTATCTGTTTCATTCGCACGCGTTTAAACGACGCATCTCCGTCTCACTGCGTGGCGTCACTATCTGTCTCGCTCGCTCATGGCAAACATGTCCACTATCCATCTCTCTCATAATTTTCCCGTAAAATTAAGAACCTACCAAGAGCTTGTGCGAATAAAAAACATTTGAACTGATTAAAATGGGTTAGAAAAAATGGGTTACTTAACGTTTTTATTTTTTTACTCGTTTTTTTTTAGTATGAAACTAACAAGTATTGTATCATTTTACAATCCTGATTAAATGCGCGAACTTTTAATGGCACTTGTCAAGGCACTTTAGTACATTTTTTTTTTAAGGAGGGCCTTTCAAATTCGACAAATTATAAAAATTGTTAATTCATAGTTTAACAAATAGTCTTAATTCTAGAAAGCTTGGGGCAAAAGTGTCATTATTTTTGACTTAGGTTCTAGAAATTTCATTTAGGGTTAAGGTTCCAAAGTTTAAATGAACAAAAATAATAAAAATTAACCACAACAACCGAAAAATGGTTACAATTTGACCAAATTTCTAGGTTTTTCTTAAATGCCCATAATTTTCAAACTGCATGGGATAGATTTTTTTCTGATTTTTCTCATGATGGTCACAATCAATGCTGTCACCCCGTTTCGGCTTGACGTTGAGTTCTGGGACACCCTGAATATGTATTGAAGATGAAGATGAGGGTCCCCGGTGACAGGTTTTGGGCATCCCAGTCAGAGCAGCCCATGCTTTCTTTAACAAAAAATGGGATGAAGAGGATGACCACGGAAAATTTCTAACAGTTTGTGGCGGGGAAATTGAGGAATACATAATGGAGCAACATCAAAACCAACATAAATATGAAAGAAGGGGTTTAAATATTAAGACTAAATTAAAGTATTATGATAGAAAAAATAGGGAGGCGATGCATGATATAGAAGTTTATTCTAAATCATATAATAATATTGTATTTGAATATAAATTAACTGTTAATTTAGTATTTAGATATTTAAAATTTAATTATATAGAACCATAGATTTATTAAAAAACTTCAGCGTTTATTTGAATATAATATTATTTTATATGTATGAGTGTTATTTATGAAAAAATGTTTATTCATAAATCGTTAGACGTTGGAAAATGTTTTATAAATATAATTAATAAGCTTCCTATTGAACTTCATTTTCCTAGTCATCAAATTTGTGGACCTGGAACGAAACTACGGAAACTTTTCGTAAGAGGAGACCGAGGAATTAATCTACTAGACACTGCTTGGAGAGAACATGATATATCATAAAATTTTATAATAAAGATTTAGATAACCGACATGTTGCTGATAAAAAATTAATTGACAAGGCTTGGGAAAGAGTTAAAGCGAAGGATAGCAATCTTAATGAGAAAACAAATGCTTGGTTAGTTATAAATATAATGAAGACAACAACGAAATTCGGTATGGGGAACGCTTATAGCAAAACTAAAAAAGTGGGAGGAAAAACTGGTTATCAGCTCTTCAATCAGGCCTTAAAAAGTGCTAAACAAAGTTGAAAGAAAGGGGATAACTTAAAAGATGCCATAAAAATTTCACGAAAGGTTGTAAATAATATTTTCAGAGGAAAAAACCTATAATAAAAACACCACGTGTAATATCATTACCTAAATCTGGAGGATTTCTCCCATTAGCGCCTTTATTCGTAGCATTAGGAGCACTTGGAAGTCTATCTGGCGGTACAGTAGGAATCTTTAAAGCAATCAATGCTATAAAAACTGGAAAGGAGCAGTTATTTGAGGCGAAACGTCGTAATAATACAATGGAAGCTATTTCAATGGGAAAAGGAATGTTTTTAAAGCTTTATAAAAAGGGATTCGGATTATATATAAACCATATCAAAAAAACTCTTAATGAAGCTAGCGAGAAGACCTCTTATTGATGTAGATTTAAAGAAGTATTCGAAATTTATTCTGGAAATTTATTTTGATAGCAGCTCTGCTGTTCCGGTTGCAGAACCGCTATATTTATACTACTTTAGATAGTGGTGCCAATAAAAGTGTACTTGGGGCCAACTGGCCAAATCAATGTTTGCATCAAATTCTCCTCTAACGAAATGTAACGGTTACGTTAAGGTAGCGGACGGCCAGCGACCACAAATAACAGGCGTTGTTGAAATAGGCGTTAACTATAATGGTCAAATTAAAAATATTGAATTTCTGGTAGTTCCGTGGATTTCCCAATCAGTCATTTGTGGAATGGATTTCTGGGAGGAGTTTGGTATTAGGGTCAACATTGATGCAGAACACGACCACGTAGATGCTATTGAGCTCGATCCAAATGAAGCTGTGTCCCTGAATACTCACCAACAGAAACAATTAACCGTGGTTTCACTTGTAAAATCTGGGAAGGTCCGTTTCTGTTTAGGTTGGCGGATAAACGAGGTGACGTATAGGGATGCATATCCCATCCTAAATATTGAGGGATTGCTAAGCAGGCTGCCAACTTCGGAAATTTCTGGGCATGACCCGATGGTTCCGCCGATTTATCGACGATTATGCTTCAACTACATTCCATTTAACTGAGTTGCTATATAAAAAAACGCTTTGCATGGAACCCTTACGCGAAGCTTGCATTTGATCAGCTGAAAAGGAAATTGACTTCTTCCAAGGTGTTAATACATGCGAATTATAGGAAACCCTTCATACTTCAATGCGATGCTAGTCAAGTAGGGGTAGGTGCATGTTTGTTGCAAGAAGACGATAGTGGCCAGGAGCGACCCATTTCTTATATGTCGCAGAAGCTTAATAATGCGCAACGGAACTATTCAGTTACTGAGCTAGAGTGTTTAGCAGTGGTCAGGAATTTTCGTATTTATATTGAAGGGTTGGAGTTCAAAGTCGTAACGCCACATTGGCAACGCATGCATTGCCGCAATTGATAAAAATCGCCCAACTCTCAACTTTTGACGCGCATCAATGCGGCAAAACCACAACGTATGGAAGGATTTTAAATCAACTGACTTTTAGCCAATCAAAATAAGCCGTTTTGTTGGCGGAAACGTTTTCATTGTGGCACCTCGCAATAATATGTGCGTCTTGTCAGTCAAAAGCATCCCTGTGACGCAGAAAAGAACTTCTATCTGGCGGGGCCTTTATGCAGCAAAAAGATTTGAGTGGGCGACTTGCTAGGTGGGCCATCCAATTGCAAGGTTTTAACTTTACCACCGAACACAAGAAGGGTAGTGAAAATGTAATCGCGGATGTCCTGTCTCGAATGTATGAGGATGTTATGATGAAACCGAAGTTAATGAAATAGAACTAAATGTGCAACCAGAAATTGATTTAAGCTCCGATGCTTTCAACTTGCCAGAATATAACGATCTAAAAATCAAATGTGGGAAGTTGCCAGACTTTCAAGTCATTGATAATTACATCTACCATAGAACCAGACCTATGCACACGACAATGGGTGGAAGTAATACGTGCCGACTGAATTACGCCAACAATTAATATTCGCGGCACATGACCAACCTTCGGCGGCACATGGCGGAATAGCCAAAACTGTAGACCGACTTCGTCGAAGATTCTATTGGCCAGGAATGGTTGTACAAATTCGCGAATACATACAAAACTGCTAGAGATGTCAAACTTCCAAAGCACCAACACAAACGTTACGACCACCTATGGTGTAATATTAAAAGATTTAAGTTTTCTTGTTACGCCACTGAAGGCGAATAATTTTTATTTTGGTCTTACTTTCGCAACTGAGGGCGGTTGGCTTGACATTGACCTTCTTATGCATCTACTTGTTCTATTTATACTTATTTTTATGTACATGGGCGTCTTAAGCTGACGTTCTTATTCCCGTGTACTTTCTTACAAATTATACTTGGGCGTCCTACGTTGACGTTCTTATTCCCATGTTCTAAATGGAGCAATTGCTGCATACAACCAGCGGTCAACATATTTTGGGTAAGCCAACTGAGGCAGCGTTCAGTGTTATGGCTTAGTACGTTGTAAGTACTATGGCCAATGCTTCAGTCAGCAGAGTCAATGATCGCTAATATTGCTTAATACATTGTATGTACGGCAGTGCACTTAGCGACATGGGCAGTGGCCTCCCCATGATCGGAGTCTTGCTGACTAGGCATTATTGATTTGTATTTACGCAACAGAACAGCGTTCAATATTTTGGATTATTAAATGCCGTTCTGTTGTATGTTGTAAGTGTGTGTGTGTGTGTGAAGTGTCAATGGACTGCGACTTTAATGTTTCATTATTTGAGTTTACTTTTAGCTGCTGTTTATGTTGACTGCGTTTGCATGCTACACCTCCATTTTTCAGAAGAATGTTCATATAACTGAAGTTTAATGGACATTCTTTTACAATGTTATTTTATTTAAATCTAATAGTTGTAGACAGAATGAATTTTATTTTTCAGACTACAGTTAAAATACAAGCAAGGAACACTTAATTATATACAGAACAATTTCGTAGAGTATATTATAACAAAGTATATAATCCAACACCCCCACTCGAAATATACTTATATAATTTTCAAACCTATTTGTTTACACTTGTGTTTATCAAAGCAAACAGGTTTGGTCAAAAAATCTGCTATAATTTTATCTGTTGAAATACTGCAAAAAGACACTTCGTTCATTTTGTTTTTCTCTCGAATAAAATGATGTCGTTTGTCAATATGCTTAGTTCTTGGTTGATAAGCATCGTTTGTAGCAATATGAATAGCGCTTTGGTTATCACAAAAAACTTTTGTTGGTAACAGTTCATCAAACTTTATGTTGAGGTCTTTCTCAGGCCCTCTTAACCATACAACCTCTTGTGTAGCAGCCGACATCGCCATGTATTCAGCTTCACTGGTCGATAAAGCTGCAGTTGGTTGACGCTTACTATTCCATGATATTGCTCCATTTTGTAAAATATTGACGTATCCTGTCACAGAGCGTCGCTCATTTACATCGTTTGCCCAATCAGCATCCGAATAAGCAACTATCTCATGGTTTCCTCTTGCGAAAAAATACAATTTCATTTCAAGTGTACCCTTTAAGTATCTAAAAATGCGTTTCACTGCCATCCAGTGAATACGATTTGGATTATTGTTGAAACGACTTAAAAAATTTACTGCTTGGCAAATATCTGGTCTTGTACACTGAGCAGCAAACAAAAGACTTCCAATAGCTTGCTGGTAAGGAACTTCTTTCATTGTTTCATCAATCGTATCTGATTTCTTAAGTTTCTGATTCAAGTCAAATGGAGTCGAAATAGGATTGCAACTTTCCATGTTATATCTTTGAAGCATGGACTTTATATACTCTTCTTGATCAATATATATATTATTGTCCTTTTGCGTGATTCTCATGCCCAAACATTGTTTTGCCTCTCCTAAGAACTTCATCTTAAAATTCTTCATTAAGTTTGTTTTTAGCTCATTAGTATAAAAAATATCATTACTAAATAACAACATGTCGTCAACGTATAATGCTAGGAATGTCATTTTCTCCCCAACTGTATTGTAATAGATGCAAGGATCAAATTGAGACTGCTTTAGGCCATATCTCTTCAATGCCGCATCGAGTTTGAGATTCCAAACGTGACTAGCTTGCTTTGGGCCATAAAGTGCCTTTTTTTAGCTTATGTACAAATCCCTTTGGAATTTCGACTGCCGATGGCGGCTCTACATAGATATCTTCTGATAATTCTCCCTGTAGAAAAGCTGTTACAGCATCCATTTGCTCTATTTTCAACCCAAATCGCGCAGATAATGCCATATAGTAACGTACAGATGTGTAACGCACGACGGGTGAAAAAACTTCTTCATAGTCTATACCTTTGCGTTGAGTAAACCCTTTAACAGCAAGTCGGGCTTTGTACCGAATGCTTCCATCAGGTTCCCTTTTCTTCTTGAAAATCCACTTCGTCTTAATTAAATTGCAATTTGCTGGTTTTGGAACTGCTATCCATGTTTGGTTTTCTTCTAAAGAATTGAGTTCACTCTCAACAGCACCACTCCACTGATCAGCTTCTTCGCTGGATAGAGCTTCTTGAATTGTATTTGGTTCATCGGTTGTCAAAGTTGTTGTAAAACCACAGTAGTCAAGTTCTAGCTTCTTTCCAATTCTTTCACTACGTCTTACTGGAGCAACGATCTTCTCAACTTGGTTTTTCATGTCATTCATTTCATCACTCATCGTTATATCAAGTGGAAGACTCTTAGCTTGCATTTCCCCCACTTCATCATCATTTTCTGACAAAGAGTCAAATGACAATGAATTCGAACTACAATCATCATTATCAAGTTCAGTATATCGTTGATCATTGTCACTAGTCGCAGGATATTTAAAAAAATAAAAATCATCATCCCTTTCTTTCACCCAGACATATCCTATCACATTCTCGTTGAACTGAACATCTCGATACGTAAATACTTGTTTTTTCTTTACATCATACACACGATATCCTTTGCAGTTTATACCATAACCAAGGAAAATCCCGCGCTCAGATTTTGCATCCCATTTCAGACGTTTCTGCTTAGGTACAAAAAACATAGCAGCGCAACCAAAAACTCGCATGTGACTAACGTCTGGCTTACGTCCATTCCACATCTCCTCTGGAGTCAGTTTTAGTGATTTGTGAGGACTTCTATTTGCAACATATACCGCACTATTCAAAGCTTCAGCCCAAAAACGCTTTGGCAACTTTGAGTCGATTAACATACATCTAGCTTTTTCAGTCAAAGTCCTATTTACCATTTTGTTCCGGATTATATGACACTGATTTCTGATGAATTATTCCAAATTCTCTTAAGCACTTTGTAAATGCGTTATTACAATATTCTGTGCCATTATCGCTTCTCAAGATTTTAATCTTCTCACCAGTTTGATTTTCAACCAGTCCTTTAAATTCTAAAAACTTCTCTTTAACTTCGCTTTTGCTTTTCATAAAATAAACGAATATTTCACGAGTAAAGTCATCTACAAACACAACATAGTATTTGCTACCACCCAATGATTTTACTTCCATTGGTCCACACAGGTCAGAATGCACAATTTCCAGTTTATTTTTAGCGCGATGACCATCAGATGGAAAACTGCCTCGAGTATGTTTACCTTGTGCGCAGCCTTCACACAAATTTTCTAAAATTTTCCCTTCTTTGAAATTCATACCTGACACTAAACCATTTTTCAGTATCTTCATATTATTAAAATTCAAGTGGCCAAACCTTTTCTGCCACATCTCTAACGTTTCTTCTGTCTTGTTTGCCAAAAATGCTTCATTTGCCGGCATATTCAAGATATACATGCCATCTACCAAAGATGCTGTAGCAATGATCATGTTGTCACTGTTGAATATTTTGCAGTCCGTGCTATCGAAGATTACACGATTCCCTTTTCTGACCATCTGACTTACTGACAGCAAGTTTTCTGAAACACCAGGAACGTATAAAACATCTCGCACCGTTATAGATGAGTTATCCTTGCCAACCATTATATTGAGATTTACGTCGCCTCTTGAGTTCACATTTAAAATGTTATCATCAGCCACCTTAACACTTCCAGTGTATGATTTCGGATCCTTAATCCAGGATTCATCCTTCGTTAAATGCGCTGATGCTCCACTATCCACATACCAAACTTGTGTTGAAGAATTTTGTACACAGAAAGCAGCATACAATGAAGATTTTTGTGACACCGCTTTCTTATTACCAACCTTATTACGATTAGGACAGTCAGCTATAAAATGACCAACTCCATCACAGCCATAACGTTTCCTGTTTGTGTTCTTGACTCCGTTTTTTACATAAGACTTTTTACTAGCCAATGCATGCGTTGATGGCTCCATTCTAATATCTTGCAACAATTTCATTTTTATTGAATCAGCACTCAATTTCTTACCGCAACTCCCAAGCGACATTATCATAGGACGATATGCCTCAGGTAACCCCTTCAGCAGTAAACAACCAAGCGATTCATCATTAACATCAAAACCAATTGACCCTAGCTTCTGCGACGTCGTCACGATCTGTGATACGTAGTCCTCTACTGAACTGCAGTCTTCTAGTTGAACAGAGCAAAGCTTTTGTAATAATCCAACTTTTCTGTCTTAGCCTGAATCTTCGAAAAGATCCTTTAATGCCTTCCATACTGCATTCGCTGTTATACAATTTCGCACGTAGACATACAAAGCCTTGTCCACTGAAAGTACCAAACGACATCTGGCTTTCTCCTCTTTTTCTGCATTAGCAATCGAAGCAGACCCTGCAACGAACTCCCATAGGCCTTCAAGACGTAGCTGCGCTTCGATCGCGAAACTCCAAGTCAGCCAATTATCTGATCCCACGAGCTTTTCAAAGCGATCCGATTCTGCGCCTCGTTTCATGTCCAATTCAAAAAATGTATTTCAAAATTCTTTTGAAGTTAGACAAGAAAAAAAAAATTTTTTTTGTTCTGCGTTAAGGCCCCTAACCTATTAGAATTGTAGACAGAATGAATTTTATTTTGCAGACAACAGTTAAAGTACAAGCAAGGAACACTTAATTATATACAGAACAATTTCGTAAAGTATATTATAACAAAGTATATAATCCAACAAAATCTATTAGTTATTCTTATTAAAAAAATTGTTATTTTCTTTTTGTTATTATTATTGATGATCATCATTATTTATTATATTATATATTTTTTTTTTTTTTTAATTTATTGTATACTAGCAGACTCGGCGAACTTCGTCCCGCCCAAAATTTTTATATATTTTATTGAAACTTTTTGGTCCAAGATTTTCACCAACAATTCACGTTTACAATTTTCATAGGCACATTCGTCTGCTAAGATTAAGGTTTGGTGGTCATTTGCCGCTTTAAATAAGGAAAGTGTTATATCCGTGAAGAAGTTCTTGAAATTCTCCAGTTGTGTGGCATTTTATAGCACGGTTATTCGCAAAGCGAAATACATTTTTTCCTCTCACTCCCTGGCGCCAACAACCCGATTCTATAGTGAATGTCCTAGAAGCTTTACAGTATAGTTGGTGGCTGTTTCAAAATGGGTGCGAATCATTGTTCTACAGAAATGCAATATACATATACTTATTTCAGAGGAAATACCTTAAAAGTTTGAATGCATAATACTATTGGAAAATCATATCCATTGGGCCAATCGCAACGCAGGAGCGTTCGATATACCCAATGGTGCAAAAGGTCGATTTAATCTGACCTTCACGGCCCCTTTTCTCACTTGGCTATTTTTAGTAATAGCTCGGCACCACTTGGCAGCACGTTTTTGCAATAGTATTGCATACATATTTAAAACATTAGCCAAATCGGATCATAAATAAGATTTTTAGTAATATCTCAAATACAGCGCCAACTGTCGGATTAAATTGTGAAACTAAACCATCCAGAGACCCACTCAAACACATAAAAAGTTTCGTTAAAATATGTACAACCATTTAGGAGGATTTCACTAACAAACACACCTACAGAAGAATTAAAAAATACATTCAAAGATAGCTAAAGGTCGGTACGTTTGTAGGCCTCACACCCCCTTTTCAAATAGCCCAAATTTTCTCCATGAGTATGGGCTTGATTTCAACTACATACATATCTCCACACGAAGTTCCAGTACTGTACCATGCATACTTTCAGAGATATTCAGTATAAAAATTCGATTTATATGGAAGGTGCCACGCCCCCCTTTCCAACAGCTGCCCTCTTTCTTCATGAGTATGCGATTGATTTCGTATATCTCCATACCAAGTTCCAGAACTCCAACATGAACACTTCCAAAGATAGGCAGTATGAAAAATTCGGTTTGTATGGAAGATGCCACGCCCCCTTTTCCAATAGTTCCAATTTTTCCTAAAGAGTTGATTGCGTATATCTCCGTACCAAGTTCCAGAACTATACCATGAACACTTCCAGAGATATGCAATATGAAAAATTTGGTTTGTATGGAAGATTCCACGCCCCCTTTTCCAATAGTTCCAATTTTTCTCCAAGACTATGCGATTTATTTCGTACATCTCCATTCAAAGTTCCAGAACTCTACCAAAAAATTTCCAGAGATATGCAATATGAAAAATTCGGTTTGTATGAGAGATGCCACACCCCTTTTTACAATAGCTTAAATTTTTCTCCAAAGGTATGCGATTGATTTCGTATATCTCCATACCAAGTTCCAGAACTCTACCATGCACACTTTCCGAGATATGTAGCATGAGAAATTCGGTTTTTATGGGAAGTGCCACGCCCCCTTTACATATAGATTTTTTTAGCCTAAAACCATCCTT